GAGGTAAATAGGCTAAAAGAAAAACATGCTTTCCAAAAGAACTACGCATCGTATTCTCTCTTGAATGACAATATGCCTGCCCTGCACCTCCAAGGTGCGCAATACATTATTATGCAATCTATGCCTGTGAGCGTGCTGCCGCGCGAGCCGAGATGATGTGTGTGTGTGCGCGTGCGTAGTTGAACCTTTTCATATTTAAGTTTGTAGCAAGAGGGCTGCTTCTGCGAGTGTGTGTGTGTGTGTGTGTGTGTGTGTGTGTGTGTGTGTGTGTGTGTGTCGTGCGTGCCGTGCGTGCGTGCGTGCGCGTTAGTTTTAAAGACCCCCATAGAGATCAGTTTATAACTCGAACCCTGGTCGTCGTGGACAAGGTACTCTTTACNCCCCCTCTTTCCTCCTTCCCACCCCCGCAAACTTCCTTCCTCTCCCTCCAGTTCACTCTACTCTCTGACTCTTCAGTGACAGAGGCAAGGAGAGCATTGAGTCATGACATCATAATTCACCAGCTCCTGTTTTCACGGTTAAATCAATATCAGTGTGTCCGAGTCAAGGTTGGAGGCTGGCCTTCACAGCTCAGCACTTCCTACTTCTTTCTCATAGAAAATCATATAAATTGTCCCTAAAATAATTAAGCCTTCAGATCCGTCGCTGGCCTATATTTTTTACCGGCTCCTGCCTGATAAACAGCACTGCCAGACATTCAAGGTAATGCCGGGAATAGAACTGGGCTCAGATTCCTTGTCTGTCCCCTTTTTTGCTGTAATCTCTCATAATAAGAATATATGCTTTTTGAAAACTGCTTTTTATTCTTTCTTTCTTTTTTTGCTGTGTGTCACATATTTTCAGTTTTATTTAAACTTGTCTTAGCTTTTCCAATGTGAGCAAAGAAGATAAAGTGCTTAAGATTTTTGTCTGAAGGTCTTTCTTGCAAAAAAAATTGTTTTTCCTGAATATGTGAGAGCCCTAAAAAGTATATATATACGTGTGTTTAAGTTGTGTGTGTGACAGAGAGTTAGAGAGGAAGAGGAGGAGGAGTAAAAGGAGGTGCCTGAGCCTGGGGAGGCGGAATATGCAGAGAGTCTGAAGCAGCTCTCAGCGCTGGGACAGACAGGAGCTAATATAAACGTGCTGCCCTTCACTCGGGGCTATCAGGGGCTACGAAAACAGCGCTACCTCTCCACTGACCTCCTGAGCTTCAGAGAGAGGACGCGCGGAGCTCCGGCCCATGCTGAGCTCTCATGGCCGCGCTGGAGAGCTGCCGCTGCCGGGGAGCCAGCGGTCGGAACAACAACAGCATCCTCTACAGCATTTTAAAGAGTGACAGTCTGGCCACCGCCGAGGAGCGACAGCATCAACACCAACCCCAACACACATTGCAACACTTGCTCCAGAAGAGCTCCTCGACCGCCGGCCCTGCCTCTCTGCAGGAGCTCCGGCAGCAGGCGTGCTCCTGCGGATCCACCCGGCGCAGGGGTGTCCTCCGCGCCCCGCAGGTCACCTGCAAAGCCGCCTCGGCGGTTCTGGTGAAGACGCTGCGGTTCGTGAAAAACGTCCCCTGCTTTCGTGAACTGCCGGAGGACGACCAGCTGATGCTGATCCGGAGCGGCTGGGCTCCTCTGCTGGTGCTAGGGCTGGCTCAGGACCGGGTGGACTTTGAGACCTCGGAGACGGTGGAGCCCAGCATGCTGCAGCGGATCCTCACCGGGTTGCCCGACCGGCAGAGCGAGCTGCTGGCCGGACAGAGCAGGGGGGCGGCCGGGGTCTCTGTGGTGGATATCGAAGCCATCAAAGCCTTCCTGAAGAAGTGCTGGAGTGTAGACATCAGTACCAAGGAGTACGCGTATCTGAAAGGAGCTGTGCTGTTCAACCCAGGTAGGTTCACACCTGCGTGTCAAAGTTATTCTACTCAGGTAGCAAGAGAGGAGTTTCATTATAGACCTCACCTGAGACTGGGTTTATCATATTATTGACAAGCCTTTACTTCTTTTATTTGTCAAATTAATTGGGCATGTTTTATAAAGAATGCTATATTTAGCTGTTTCATTAAAAAGAGATAGAATACTTTATTTTAATAATCCATCTCTAAATTGTTACCATTTTGGCATATGAGGGGAACACATTGCTGATACGCGTGCTTGGAAACCGGACTGAACTTTTATTTCCAATCATCTCAATTGAATCTCTTATCCCTGACTTTCTTTCTCCCCTTCAGATGTGGAGGGTCTGCGCTGCCTGCACTACATCCAGTCTCTGCGTCGCGAGGCGCACCAGGCTTTGAACGAGCACGTGAGGCTGATCCACCGCGAGGACACGACGCGGTTTGCCAAACTGCTCATAGCTCTGTCCATGCTGAGGGCCATCAGCCCGGCGGTGGTGGCGCAACTCTTCTTCAGACCCGTCATTGGCACCGTCAGCATCGAGGAGGTGCTGATGGAGATGTTCTACGGGAAGTAGGTGGAGTGAGTTCATCAGAGTCTGCTGTCAGATGGACTGAATGTCTCCAAAGCTCTTTCTATAGGAGCTGAAGGAAGCTGATGAAAAGGATAAGAGAATTTACTGAACTATGTATGTAGGAGATCTTCAAGGACTGTGAAATGGCCAACGGGCAAGAGAGAGAGAGTGAGAGTGAGAGTGAGAGTGTGTGTGTGTGCGCGCGTGAATGAGAGAAAGAAAGAGTGTGTTAAAAAATATGTGGTAAAGAGGAAAAATACTAAGCAGCTGCTGGAATTCATAACTTATTTGTTTTTATATAAACTATTTTTCTATTATAATAAAAAAATACTCTCTGAACTTCCTTTAACTCTTCTTTTGTTGGTGTGATATCAGCGTTATCATTTCTGACACACTCTTCACTGGGATAAGAGCTGAACTCGGCCATAGACAGAATCTTATGAGATAACATATTGCAGCATGTAGGCAATGATTGTACCAGTCATCTGAGTCACACTGATTCATCAGCTCCTCAGAAGATAATGATGATGTGACGACAACTGTTGTTTCAGACTTAGCTACAATTTGGTTACTCACACTGCCTTTCATTGCCGAGTATAATAGGTAAAGCGCAGTTCAACAGTGGCAATGCAACTTCTAAATTCAGCTGAAATGCCATGTTAGACCACAAGAGTGCAATAGAATACCACCTGGAGACGCTCTGCTGTGCACATGCATAATCTCTCCCCACCCCAAAACACACACCGACTATAGGTGGAGAAATGGTGTAGTGAAAGTGCCTCAGGTAATGTTCTAACTGTTTCTCCAACTCTGGCCATTACAGTGAGGAATTATGTGGACACAGACTAAAATCCCCTTGGCAAAAAGCAGAGAAAGGATGGACTCGCTAAGATTGTATTTGGCCAAGAAAAAGAATCCAGAGACTGCACACAGAGGCGAAAATGGATCATGTAGGCCTATAGCAACATCATACAGTATTATGTTCCATTAACTATAGGGATTGAAGTGATGATGAAGTGACGTACAACAATAGTGCAAAGACTTTCTGCTGTTACAGTGCAGTACAGAAAAGTATGACCTAAATATTTAATGAGTCCCAGGACACCTGAATATTACTTCCAGGTCCCATTACTTAGTCACTGTTCAAAGGGCAGATGGCCAACCTGTGCTCAGTCCCCGCACTCCGACAAATAAATGTCCAGAAGGATACTTTTTTGTAACCAGGCAGCAGCCAGCAATTCTTCTCATTTTCTATTAATATATTGATAATGGATGATAATGAATCATTCGGTCTATGACAAATGAGAAACAATTCTAAAGTGGTTATATAGTTACATTTTATATAAAAAAACTGAGGAAATAGGACATTTTCACATTGGAAAAGATGATCAAAACTATAGTTATTTTTACGTCAAGTAACTAATTGTTCCTGTGTCACATTAAGACATTTCGAATTATACCCTTGCCAAAACAAAGACAGGTAGAAGTAGGCATAGAGCGACATGCATCAAAAGTAGAAAAAAACCATTCCTATTTTTATTGAATAGATAATCAAATGACCTTCTGTTCCTGGTTAGACCTTGAAGCAGGGAGCATTGCCGTCAGTGGCTGACCCTTATGAAGCCTGACGGGTTGTGTGAGTGGAGGAGTCTGAGAGAGAGAAGGGCAGAGGGTGGCACATTGTTCCAAAGTCACAAAGCAGAAGAGTTTCACCAAAGCAACAACCTTATTAAATCTCTCTTTGATATTGAGCGAAACGGACTGATGGGATCAAAGGTATCATGCGCCACATTCCTGCGTCTGAGGTGTTTGACAGGTCTTATTGAATAAACTTGTCAAGGATCTTTTCATTCATCGCTGCTTCACATTTATTATGAACTCCCACATTTGGCAACCTGAGTAAATAATGCTGTTCTGTAGTCATTACATTCAAAAATATAATTAAATACTTGATGAAGACAAATGGATTTCCAAGTATTTTTTTCATAAAACAAATTAGGAGTCTCATCAAAAACTCAATGAAACGATGTTGACAAGAGCAGTAGGGTTTCCAAGTGTGCCTTTGAGGGGCAAAGACTTTGCCTCAGTGGTGATTATTAATAAAACACTTCAGATACTCCCATGCAGCAGTGCTTCTCTTTTCTGAAGCAATCCTTCTCCAGGGTGCCAACTAGTGAGTTTTTATATTTGGTTCAAAAAAGCCACATGCAATCACAATGAAATGATGACACAGGGGAGGAAGTAGTTCAAGACAAAAACCTATTTTTCAAGAGAGACCCTCACTGATAACTCTCAAACCCCTCCCGGTGGTATGATGAGGCATTGCAGGGAAAGACAACAAAAACACAGAAGCACAAACAACCATCCCTGGCACCCACATAACACTGACTTAGACTTGACTCTGCTGATATGCTTTAATACCAGGGATGGAAATATGTTACTTTATTTTATTCTAGGAAAGGTTAATTTAAAGAAGTTTTACGCAATAGCTACAAGTATAGATAGGAGGTCAGTTGAGATGTAGCAGGATGGGTAAAGGGAACCATAATAATAAGATGGACTACACATAAGGTGAGTTCACATCATACCACAGAGCCCCTATTTTCAAACCAACAACATGTTACTGCAGGCACTTTAAAGCAGTGCATACAACTGACTAACAATTACACAGCTGTTTTAGTGTACTGCCTACTTTTTAGAATTACCCAGAAGTGGTCAAATTACACAAAAACGAGAGAAAAAAAACCACACTCACATATGACGAGATCAGGTGAAACACAAATTAATTACACCACATTAAACAACGAGACACTTCTGAAATAACAGCAGAATAAATCATCACCAAGGCAGACAACACAGACATGTAGGACCTTAAACTCCAAAGCAACAGAAGACGAAACATAACAACGCTAAGAGATACTGAACCACGCACACAAACAAACAAACAAACAAACAAACACACACACCAACAATACACAAACAAAACCCGCGACATTGCGTACTAACGTTGAATTAATTGCCAGAGTTAAACCCACTAATATTTTTTGTTGGCCCACTCACCTGCTTCAGGTGTTTTTGCTCGGTGAGATCCTCTTCAATCTGCTCCAGGTTTAACTTTTCTGCTCGTGTGTCCTCATGATCACTCTGTCCCACCGTGCTCCTCAAAGTTTTCAAACATTTTTAACTGAAAAAATGACTTGCAGCCACGTTTGAAGATTAAAAGTTCCTCAGTGAACTAAGAAATCTCCGCCGGAAGATCCGCCATTATTATTTATTCAGACCCGTCAGTGAACCCAGAAGTCTACAGTGAGGGTGCGTTTGATTTGTGGCATTTAGCTTGGATGGGTGGTGCATTAAACCAGTGAATAATTAAAATACATTTTGGCTTTTTTACCTCAATACACAATTACCTTATTTATTATAGACTGACTCCATTATTATAGCTACTATTGTTCATTATCTGATAAATATCAACAGGTAAACATGCCCTTTTAAGATATGTAAACATGCCCTTTTACTTTCCAGTGTCACCTTTTTGCATCTCTGTAATCCTGCAGCTGTAAACACACCAGCATCTTCTTCTCTGTTGCAGCAGCTGATTTGGCTCCTTTCTTTTATACAAAGGCCTAGTAGAATAATTTGGATTAAAAATACTTAAATGTAAATACAATTACTGAAACTTTAAAAAAAAAAAAGTATACAGAAAACAGCTCTGTTACAGCAACACGATTGTAATATGTTACTTCCACTATTCAAATATGTCTATCTCCTGTAGATGTTCCCTTTTTTGTCTCCAATTAAGTCCTTAATTGCTCTGGGTGATAAAGAGTCTCTTAACCTGTGTCTGGTGATAAAACTCCAGCTGTCTGGAAGAGGCTGCCAACATGCAACAGTCAACAGCTCTGTTGTGCTACACAACATGTCTGCATGCTTTCAAACTGCTGGCATCGTAATGAGGCCAAAGCTAATTCCAGCAGTTTTGATTCATTTGAGTTTTCATTGAAAGTCATACATGTTTTTTCGTTGTGTTTGCATAGTCTCAAACCATTAGAGGTTTACAGTTCATTTTAACACTTTTGCACCAACACAAAAATAGCCCATAGCCTTGTATTCTGACAAACTCTACTCACTTTCTCCCCTCCTCCTATTTTAACTCTGTCCCCGTCTTTTTCCTCTGCCCCAGTTTCTCTTTTTCTGTGTTCTCTCCTGGGATTGACAGAGAATCAGTGAATCTGCTTTCTGTGTCTGTGTTTACCAGCATTCAATCACAAACACCCCTTGTAGGTAGAGTGAATCCCCAGGAGAGGGCACTGTTTGGCAGCACTGCACCGCCGCTGTGTTTAAGTCAGGCATCAAATGAGACTCCTTGGCTCTAAGGCTAAGCCAACATTTTTATTTTATCAGCACTTTTTTAAAGGTTTATCTTTGACATTTCTCCCTCTATCTGACAAGAGAGATATACAGGAAACACAGGGAGTGAGCAATGGGGATACGATGCAGCAAAACTCCCCCGCCAGTGTTGAACCAGAGAAATGGTGATTACATGGTGAGAGACCTCCAAATCAGCCCACACTAAACTGTGTGTCCCAGCATGAACTCTGAATGCTCTGAACTGTAAACACTATGCACTACACATCATGTAAGACATTCCTCATATTCAACACTGTTATCACACATGTACATGTTGCACCTTATTGTTCAATGGTAACCCTTTTAGGTACCACTTTACAATAAGACTACCCTTATAACGGGTTTACAAATAGTTTGTAATTAATTAATTAATTAGGTTGTGAACACTTTATAAATCATTAATAAGCTTTTATAAGACATGAGATAAACAGGGCAACTGTGACCGGTTGCTTGCCAAATAGTGAGCCCACATTTATCTGTACTGCTAATCCTTATTATAAATGGTAGTAACTCATTAATAAATGGGAATGTGTTTTACACTTTACAATAAGGCTCCCATTTGGCAGTTATAAATGTTAGTAACTCATAAAGAAATGGTCATAAAGAGATGCCAATAAACATCAAGATGGAAGGGGGAGAACCAAACATCTTTGTATTTATAAAGTAAGGGTAGGACTATTAATGAAACCAGATACCCTATCAGTACCAATATTTCTTCTTTTCGTTATGTAAAACACAAAAACCGTTCCTGAAAAAAATTTATATAAACCTTCCACAACTAAAACTCATACGTATCGTTTATCTATACATAAGATATAATATTATATCTATAAATATATTATATATTTGTGCTAAAGAGTGAAAACCTTTCTTTACAGATAGAAAATATCTTTGTGTTAGTAATAGTCAACGGGAATGAAGAGTTGACGTGTAATTTTGTAACTAAAGGAAAACCTACAAAAAAAAAGCACAGGTTGAGACGGATAAAGGAAACGTCTATAAGAATTGTAGAGCAGTACATGATAGAGAGATTTTAGCTGGCTTATTAATCAGTCTAATTACCGTAGTAAGTAGGCGAGAACACAATGAATAAAACACTGTCAGACATTATATTAGTTTAGTTCTCGGAAGCAAAAATCATGAGAGTGCACAAAGCGGGAGAGTCACAAAGGTTTTGATTCGACGACACTTGTCTAACTCATCTAATGAGTAAACTAAACAGATTTATGACGACCTTCTAGATAATCATGTGTAAGTGAATGTCAATCTTCGTGGAGTCCTTCCCCTATAAACTTACAAAAGTATTGTCCTCTTACTAATGACGTTCGACTGTATTAAATTATCTAATGACAAATTCCGTCTGATGTTTATATTAACAGTGACGTGAAGGCTTTGGGGCTTTGATGGGGGATTCCCTCTATCAGTGTAAACGAAACGTTTGTTATTGATGACTCTATAATCAAAATATTTTTTTCTTCCTGGATATAATTACGTTAAGGTCCAACTATTAAACCTACACACGCGGAATGACACTGGTACAACGTACGTAATTACAAGGTTTTTCGAACCAGACTTTGGTCTCGGTCAGAACGAGACTACCAATCGACCGCCGAGACACACTGAACCCGGTTGGTGAATCTCTATAGGGACAGAAGGTTACTAAGAGTACAACGTAATTATTTTTGTGAGTAGCTGTTGTTTGTCCTAGTAATTGTCTTACAGTTACGTGTCACAATTTACTCTTTCAATGTGTTAATCTGTCGTAGTATACAGTCGTATCCAATTGTGTAAACTGGTTACCAACAGCCCCCAATCGAAAACCAAACGTTATATTAATTTTATCTTTTTATTTACAAATGTCTTTTATGTGTATGGTTTTTTCCCTTCATGGTTAATCTTTTATTGGTAAAGAAGACTCTTTTTTTTTATACACGTCAAATAGTCTACTTCACTGTAATATTTTCTCCCATGGTGAAATGTTATTCTGATGGGAATAATTTCCTAAGGTATTTCCCAAATATTAATCCAATGAGTATAATCCAACATTTGTGAAATAATTAAGTATTCTCGGTAAATTTTCTGTCGAAGGTTGTATCAACAGATACGTAGTTGTGTCCGAGTATAAACCTTTCTACTTGATTCGGAATATAACGTGATCGAATGCAAGCAAGAGGAAGTAAGACGAAGTGGCTCACTTTA